ACTACAATACTCAAAAGAAATAACCCTCTTTTGATATTTTACCTCACTACAATATTGCTCACACTCTCTATTTTCTTCACAGACTATTTTCTTATACCCTGTCTGTGAAAACTCACTCTTTCTTTCTAGCTCTCAGATATATTTTCCTCTGAGATTGTGATAAAAGAATGAGAGCCGAAGCTCTCATTTTATAGGCAAAATATGCCTACCAACCTTGACCTTTCAACTTCTGCAGCCTGTCATTTTTGACAGAAAAATGAGAAACGTGGGCTGCTTCTCCCAACTTTGAAAAATGAAGAAGAAAGGAAGAAAACAACTTACTTAAAATGTGGGCTGGACCCAACAGTTCAGGCAGTCTGTGATGTTTCTGCACCACGCTCCTCCCTCTAAACAAAGTAAAATATTTCGAATATTTAAAAAGATTCAAAAATCATGTCTTCATAATAATTAGAGATCAAAACTTTTCTCAATATTGTGAAGAAAAAGAGTTTTAACTTCTATAAAATTTGCAATACTAGGTCCTAAAGGATAACTTAAGTTAACTGCTCATAGCAAGAGTATTTAGTAACCTGAAAATAAAGCAAACAACCTATTATGACATTTTAAATTATCCTGATAGTATAAATTATTTGTACTATCCATGTCATAAGTAATTTCTGGGAAAAAAATAACAGCCATATGTCTATATATAAAACGGTAGAATCAAACTTGTGCTATGTTGAACTTACTGAGAGTAGAATAATCCAGTTTCTGACTCCATGTCCAAATCCTCGGTCAAGATGGTATGCTGGAGGTGATCCGTCCAAGCACACTGCAAGTGAAAAGGATTAATATAACTCTTATGATACTACATGCATTTATTTGTCTAATTTAAGTTATTAATTTCTGCATATAATAAGTAGTGTAATTAACCTGCTCCTTTTGACAAAGCATTCTGAACAATTGTTTTCTCAACAAAGTATGCATGATCTATGCCTTTCTCTTGTTTAAATGATTCATTTACTTTTGCAGATGCAATTTTGATGATGGCCAGAGAGCAAATAAGTAAGCAGACAAGTTGAACAGATCTTGTTGCCATCAATATCCTGTAGAAACACAACGACTAAGGATAAGAAATCAATATTAATAAGAATGTATTTTCACTGAAGCTTCTCCGGTGAAGGACTTGTGATTGGAGCTTCTCTGCTTGCAAATATCCGTGAGTCTTGAAATGGCTGTGCAAGTGTGAAACTAAATGTGAATATATTGAGTGATAAGTTTTTTTGTTTATTCATTTTGGTTACATCTATAGAAGAGAGAACGTGGGAGCGAGGTGTGTGCCGTGCAGCATGGATAAATCATGTGGAAAGAGCATGTGCTGACACAAGTTGATTTTTTTAGGGGGGTTATTCACAACTTGAACCTTTGCACCATTGATGTTTGGCCAAAAATTATATATTTAACCATTGTTATTTCATATTTTAATATTTTAAATATTTTTTGAGTTTTAATTATATTACTTTATGTTTAATATTATATTGTGTAGGAATAAAGCAGTGTAAAGATAAAGAGATTTGAGTGTTTTTTTTTTTTTAAAAAAATAAAACGCAAAAGAAAAATATTTACCTCACCTTGATTTGTTAGGAAATGGTTGATAGGAACTTAAGACTAGGGCATTCAAAGTTGTCGATAGTTTAACCTTTTGGGACAAGGTTATTTCGGTCTTACACGGTCTCAATTCATATAAAAGGGGTCCTAAACCTTTGGAGGAACTCGAACACACTTCAAAGGAGAATTCACGTGAAGGAACGGAGACCACACTTGGAGGAGACTTCCAACTAGTTTTCTTCTCTTCTCTTCCTTTAATCTAAAAGTTTATTAGTTCTAGAGTTGTGAGGTGTTACATGAACGTTGTAGTTTGAAACTTTAAGTATTCTTATTATTTTATAATATTAATTTATTTATTCAATCTTGCGTTGTGATGAACCAAAAGGTCCACTTATGTTGCAAGTAAATTCAGTGTTCCGAGGCCTAAAAATCTTCCTTTTACCTCACCTTGATTTGCGTGCATGGTCCGGACCTATATTCAGAAAACCTGCTATGTGAAAATATGAGAAATAGAAATTCTAGAGTTAAAATTTGATTATGGTTGACTTTGGTCAACATTTTGAGCAAACGAACCCGGATCTGTGTCCCGACCATCCCGGCAGGTCCGCAGTAAAATATGGGACTTAGGCGTATGTCCGAAAATGAATTTCGAGGTCCCAAGCCTTAGAAATCAATTTTTGAAAGAAATTATTTTACTGAATTATCTAAGAAATAAAGAAAAGAATTAATGTTGAAACCATTGTTATCGGGCTCGTATTTTGGTTCCGAAGCCCGATACAAACTTGTTATAGTATTTGAAAGATAACTGTGAAATTTGGCAAAAAATGGAGTTTATTTGACGTGGGTTGGACTTCCGGTTGAAGAGTTATGAACTTTGAGAGTTCTTGATGAAAATGTTGAGTTTTGAGGTTTAATTCATGATTTTACATGTTATTTTGATGATGTGATCGCATGAGTAGGTCCATATGATGTCTTTGAGTTAGTATGCACACTTGGTTTGGAGTTTTGAGGGCTCGGGTGAGTTTCGGGTAGGTTCCGGGATGACTTAAAAACATAGTTGTTGCAGGTTCAGAGAAGTGGAAAGCCTCTGAACAAATCAGTGCGGTCCGCACAAAAAGGAATGCTGCCACGGAGGGGCTTGTGCGGCCGCACTGGATTTTGTGCGGACCGCAGTGAAGAATATTTCACTGGTCCGACTTCGGAAGCCTATATCTTTTGATCTACAAAGAATTTTGAGATGATTCAAAAACGAAAGTTGTATCCCTTCATGTCTAGTTTGCAGAAAAGTAAAGAAATCACAATTTGGACATCTGTATAGAAAGTTATGACGAAAATACTAAAGCATGTCACTGCAGTCCACATGGGACCTGTGCGGCCGCAGTTGATTTTGTGCGGTCCCCACAGGGCATCTGAGAGTAGTATATTTAGACGGGATTTTCAGTTATTTTTAATTTTTCAAAACTCCAAAAACATAAGAGGCGATTGTTCAAACAATCTTTCTTCTCCAAAACGTTGGTAAGTGATTTTTAACTCATTTTCTTCACTCCTTAACATCTTTTAACATGATTTCAACTCAAAATCAATGATTTTCATGGGGTAAATTGGGTGTTTTGGGTAGAACCTAGGTTTTTCAAAAATTGGGGATTTGGACCTCGATTTGAGGTCCGATTTCAAAACAAATTATATATTTGAGTTCGTGGGGGAATGAGTAATCGGGTTTTGGTTCGAACCTCAGGTTAAAACCATGTTGGCCCGGGGGTAATTTTTGACTTTTTGGGTAAAACTTTGGAAAATTCATTTTCATGCATTCAAATTAATTCTCTTAGCATTTATTGATGTTAGTAAGTAACTTGTGACTAGATACGAGCAAATTAGCGGTGGAATCGAGGGGTAAAACTATAATTGAAACTTGAGTTGTGTTCGTGGCATCGAGGTAAGTGTTTGGTCTAACCTTAGCTTGAGGGATTAGGAGTTGTGTCCTATTTGCTATTTTCTTCTTGTTGAGTATGACATATAGGCATGGTAACGAGTATCTATACGTTGGTGTCGAGCATGACCGTGAGTCTTAAATTGCAACTTGTTGTGTTCTTAAATGATATTACAGACGCTTTAATTGATGACTCTCGATAGTGAGCAAGGAATAAGTTTGTTTTCGTGGGATTTACGAAGTTTGAGCATTGGTGATAGCTGAAATGGTTAGATGTTGGACTAAGATTGGTTATAGTTGTTTCTCCCTGGCTGGGACGTATTTATTTGTGTTGTCGATTCCCTTGTCGGGATAGTGTAATTCGTTATTGATCCCTTGCCGGGACTATGGTTATGATTATTGCTGACTGTATATTTGGAACGGGTTACGCGCCACAACATTATTATATATGGATTGGGTTGAACTCCGCAACAAATATTATATTGGATCAGGTTGCACGCCGCAACACTATTATATATGGATCAGGTTGCTCGTCGCAACAAATATTATATTGGATCGGGTTGCACGCCGTAATATTATTATATATGGATCGGGTTTCACGCTGCAATAGTGTTAAACGATAAGGGATCGGGTTGTGCGCCGCAACAATATTATTAATGTTTTGTTGTAGATCTTGAATCGTTCTCTCATATTTCTCTTAAGTTTCTGTTGGATTTGATATTTTCCCCATAGCATGTACCCCCTCCCATTTAAATTGTTTATTCCTGTTTATTTTCCGCTGTATATTATATAACTGCACAAGTTTATTTGGAGTCTGGTCCTAGCCTCGTCACTACCTCACTGGGGTTAGGCCAGGCACTTACCAGCACATGGGGTCGGTTGTGCTGATGCTACACTCTGCACTATGTGCAGATACCGGAGCAGCATTTGGGGAGTAGCACTTGGGGAGCCAGCCTTCAGTCCACTCAGAGATCAGGAGGTAGTCCTGCAAGCGTCCGCAGGTCCGACATTCTCTTCTATCTATTTATATGTTCTGTTTTCACTTGTTTTTGAGACGGACTGTATTTACTTGTTCAGACGTTTGTATGTAGTATTCATAGACAGTTTGTGGATATTGTGACACCGGTTTCTGGGTAGAGACGCATGTTGACATTTTTGTACTGATTTTGGTATTATATTAGTCTAAGTCTTCCGTTTAATTTCATCTTTCGCTATTATTTAAATGTTGATCGCCTATTAATTCAACTCATTAAAAGGATGAAAAAAAATGAAAGAGTTAGAATTTCTATATTTCGTGGCTAGCCTAGCTTCTACGAGTAGGCGCCATCACGACCACCGAGGGTGGGAAATCCGGGTCGTGACAAGTTGGTATCAGAGCTCTAGGTTATATAGGTCTCATAATTCACGAAAAAGCTTAGTAGAGTCTGAGGGATCAGTACGGAGACATCTATATTTATCCCCAGAGGCTACAGAGTTAGGAAAACTTCACATCTGTACTTTCTTGTCGTGCAGTTTTGTTTCTCAATGCTAATTGAATTTCTACTCTATTCTTTCGCAGATGGCGAGAACACACGTTTCCTCATCCACTACTCAGCAGCCTGAGCCCCCAGCAGCAGCTCCCACGAAGGGCAGAGGGCGTGCCCGAGGCCGAGGCTGTGCTAGAGGCCGAGGTAGGGGCAGAGCTCAGCCCCGAGCAGCAGCACCAGCGGTGGAGCCCCAGGTCAACTTTGATGATGAGGTTCCAACCCCAGCAGTCCCGGTGGGCCCAACTCAGGTCCTAGAGGGGTTTATTGCTACCCAGTTCTTCAGGATGCTCTGGTCCATTTAGTGGGCCTCATGGAGAGTGTCACCCGAGCAGGCTTGCTTCCTGTAGCACCAGCCGTCTCTCAGGCTGGAGGAGGAGCCCAGACTCTTGCTACTCGCACTCCGGAGCAGGTAGCTCCCCAGATTCAGACTCCAGCGGTTCAGTCAGTTGGAGCAGTTTAGCTGGGTGTGGTAGCTCAGACTGGTGATGGAGCAGCTATGTCCGCCAATGCTTTGTGGAGGTTGGATAGGTTCACCAATGTGTTCACTACTACTTTCTGCGGTGCATCTACTGAGGATCCCTAGGATTATCTAGACAGCTGTCACGAGGTTCTCAGGAACATGGGGATAGTTGAGACTAATGGGGTCGATTTTGCCACTTTTCGCTTGTCTAGATCCGCCAAGACTTGGTGGAAAGATTATTACTTGGCTAGACCAGCCGGATCGCCAGCCTTGACTTGGGAGCAATTTGCACAGCTATTTTTGGAGAAGTTTCTCCCATCACTCAGAGAGAGGCCTATCGGAGGTAGTTTGAGCGTCTCCAGTAGGGTTCCATGACGGTTACCCAGTATGAGACCAGATTCATCGACTTGGCTCGCCATGCTCTTGTCATACTTCCTATTGAGAGAGAGAGAGAGGGGGTGAGGAGGTTTATTGACAGTCTTATTTAGCCGATTCGTCTTTAGATGGATATGGAGGCTGGGAGTGAGATTACCTTCCAGGAGGTGGCCAATGTGGCCAGGAGAGTGGAGATGGTTCTGTCGTAGGGAGGTGGTCATGGGTCGGATAAGAGGCCCTGTCATTCAGACAGATTCAGTGGTGCCTCGTTTGGAGGTAGGGATTCGTATGGTAGAGGCCATCATCCAAGGCCCTTTCAGTCACACTTCAGGTTTCTCATGGTGCTTCAGGTGGCCATGGTTCTCACATGCAGTATTCTGATCAGCAGCCCTACAGTGCACCACTAGCTTATATTAGTGCACCGCCGCTCCAGAGTTTTAGGGGTGGACATTCAGTTCGCTAGGGTCAGTCTTAGTTTCCTCAGCCACAACACTCAGGTGGATGCTATGAGTGTGGTGATTATGGTCAT